GGGCTGCTCCCCCTGAGGAAACCAGGATCCCAGCCCCCCCCCCCCCCCCCACCCCCCCACCCCCATCGGGTCTCATGTTGTGAACTGTGACGTTCGTGCTTATATGTTGAGGTGTATTTTGGCATTGTAGAGCTACTCCCTACCGGGAGTAACTGATTTGCCTTTTTTCCCTCCCCCAACTCTCCTCATGTAATCCCCTCTTCATCTAATTGAAATGAGCGCCGTTATGGCTGATCTCGTGGTCTGCCTGTATCTGTTCTGTCTATATGTGTGTGTGTAACCTTGGTAAGGCTGTTCTGTGGAGTCAAGTTCCTATGCTCTGGTTCGCTGGCAATAAAATTCTCTCTGATTCTCTGAAAATAGAATCACCAGAAATGGCTCATAAGGTATTGAATAGAATTTTGGGAGAAATTTAAAATTATGTAAAATGCATGGCGTAGACCGGAATTACCGCTTTTCAATGCAAGTTGTGATGGCTAAATGAAAGTAAGTGATTTATTTTTGTATTATTTTCTAATTTGAGTCATATAATTTTAAAGGTTCCTTAAATAATTGTAGCATATTAGAGGTGACATGAGTTACTGTTTCGAAACGTCACCGCTTCATATGCAATCCATTATAGTCTTTAGACTGTTTCAAACCAGCACCTACGCGGCAATTACCAGGCGAGTCACTGTTTCAGTGTAAAATCCCCGGTAATTTTCAAAATAAAAGTACTGCAGCAATGTAATTTCATATATATGAAGCTTACGTGTGACCCAACGGTTTATTTACTGACAGCATCGTTCCAGAAGTGCTGCAGTGTTTTTTTTCCTGGCAGTGGAGAGGAACATCTATGACATCAACCAGCGATATAAAACATGGTTTCCTTCTTTTAGGTTTAATGATGGATTGCATAAACAAACCGTGACAGTAACAGAAAGTGGGTGCACCTCTTATAGGTGCGGGGGGATTTTTAACTCATGACAAAATAACACGAGGTGATCAGTAAACAGTGTAAGGTAACCTGTACGCTCCACAGAAACACAACTCGGCTAAAAAATGATGGTGTTGCTGGACATTTTTCTCAGTTTTATGGCTTTTTGTCAGACTCTGAACCAGGAAATGCTGCAGGCAGTGAAACACAAGGCAAAAATCTCTGGAGCAACAAGTGACTCTACCCCCAGCCAATCAGTGACCAGAATCTTGATGCCGGCCGACTCAGCCTTGCCATGTACTTCAACGGTGCAGGGAGTAAAAATGGGGGGGGGGGGGGGGGGGGGGGGGGTAGAGAGAAAATCCCGAACCGTGCCCTTGGAAACAGTGATCGGGCCGAGCTGCTCTTAGTAGTGCTTCAGGAAAACCACCTTTAGTAGACATGGTGTGATTAGCACCTCAGAACCAGCTGCTGATCAGCAGAAAAATGCAGAAAATCAGAAACTTTTGAGATTCTGCTTTTCCCTCGTGAAGGTTTCTCACTGTTGAAGCAGCGCTGCAACCTAAATGTACCAGAATCGCCCACAAAAGCCACTTCCATATCTGAGTCAGTATGACCAGGGCTGGGGTGCATCTGTTTGGGCTCGTATATGCAGTTGTTCATATGGTTAAGGACGTCTGAGGAATGCAGAAATCCCTGAGTACGTGGGCGGCTCAAGAGACCTGTCTGTGGTGTCCCCCTTAATAAGATAAACATAGGCGGGTATGAGCTGTGTTGCTTTTGGACACTCTGAACCACACTATTTAAATTAGTTTTAATGTGCTCCCAGATCTCTCACTGATACTGCTGTGCGTGTCCTGATAACACTGCTCTCTCCTCTCATCTCTTCCCACTGAGCGGCAGCAACATGCTACAGAGAGATGTTTACTCCACAGCATCTACAATGATAATGAATCATGCATGCAGAAAGCCCCTGCTGGCTGATTCTACTCGCCAACCTGAGGCGGCACACATGAAATTTAGCCAGCCAATCAGTACCGTAGAGCCACCTTGGTCCCCGTTGGACTGCTGAGGAAGAGATCTGAAAAAACGTCACCTCAGAAGGGAAATTGCACACATGACCCAGATGTGAAACCAAATAAGCCCCTCCGAGCCCCTCCCAGATGACCGAGCTTCTTTAAGGAAGAGCCCAGCCACCCTGTGGAGAAAGCTAATTTCAGCTGCTTGTATCCGCGATCTCGTTCTTTCGGTCTCTACCCAAAGCTCGTGACCATAGGTGAGGGTAGGAGCGTAGATCGACCGGTAAATCGAGAGCTTCACCTTCTGACTCAGCTCTCTCTTCACCACGACAGACCGGTACATCGCCTGAATCACTGCAGATGCAGCACCAATCCGCCTATTGATCAATCAGTCTATCAGGCTTATTTATATAGCACGTACCACTACCTTATCGGAGGCCCAAGGAGCTGAACAGCACATAAAAACAAGGATAAAAACAAGTAAAAGTTATTAAAAACCATACAGTACAGAAGGTAAAAATACAAAAGTCAGGGTCAAGGGTGTTGGGGGAAAGCTAGTAGATAAAAGGGAGATCATTCCAGAGTGTAGGGGCCGTTACTGAGAAGGCCCGGTCCCCCCTTGATCTGAGTTTAGAGTGCGGGACTTCCAGCAGCTCCTGCTCAGCTGAGCGAAGGGCCCGAGTGGGGACACACCGCTACAGCAGTTCAGCAAGATATGGGGGGGGGCTCTGCCTGCAGCACCCTGAACACGGAGGAAGATCTTCAATCTGGCCCAATAAAACACCAGGAGCCAGTGCAGAGAAGCTAGCACTGGTGTGATGTGGTCTCTCCTTCTGGTCCCAGTCACAAATCTCACAGCAGAGTTTTGGATGAGCTGCAGTCGCAGCCTGACTCAGTCCAGCATACCACGCATTACAGTAGTCGATGCAGCACCCTGAACACGGAGGAAGATCTTCAATCTGGCCCAATAAAACACCAGGAGCCAGTGCAGAGAAGCTAGCACTGGTGTGATGTGGTCTCTCCTTCTGGTCCCAGTCACAAATCTCACAGCAGAGTTTTGGATGAGCTGCAGTCGTAGCCTGACTCAGTCCAGCATACCACGCATTACAGTAGTCGATGCGGGACACCATGAAAGCGTGTGCTACTGTTTCCAGATGTACTCTGGACAGGAGAGGCTTTATCTTGGACAGCTGTCTCGGATTAAAAAACATGCTCGAACAACCATGTTTATCTGTGCATCACATCTAAGGGCTGCACCCATAAATTAGTGACCACATTCTTCTTATATTGTGTCATGGAGTCAAGATCAGTCTCATCACCTGCTCCAGCTCTTTCACCAGGGCTGAGGATTATAACCTCGGTTTTAGACTCATTTAGGAGGAGGAAGTTAGCAGCCATCTATGACTTCACTTCCCTTAAACAGTCTAATAACGCAGATCCAGAGCCCGCTGTATCTGATCTAACTTCTGTATTCAGTCTCGCGCTCCAGTTTTCCCAAACTCATGAACAAGACCCAGAGATACTTCCTCATCCCTGACCTGGAGAAGGCATTCTACCCTTTTCCAGCTTATTACTAACCATAAGTCTTATTGCTTTAACAGGTCATCTGATAAATGCATCTTCCTTGTGTGTAAGCAAGTCCTGTAGAGACAAACACTCTAACCAAAGTAGAAGCTAACCATAACAGATGTGAACGTTACAGTCGGGTTTCCTCACAACAGAAGTTGGCAGATTATCTTACTGACTACACTCTGAACATGCATGTCAATAACTGATTGGATACATAGTTTAATGTAGTAAAGTCTTGTTTCTGTGCTGGCCGTTCTGATGTTTTTCTATCATCTGTAACTGCAGGAACGCGGATGCTGGCTGTGCCATCTATGGATCACATGAAGGTAATTTTTGAACAGAGTCTGCCGACAGAATGGAGGTCAACCAGCTGGTGTCCTGGGCCCTCATTTATCAAACGTTCGTAGAAACTAGGGATGTAAGAAAACATCTATATGGCAATATATTGTGGTATTTTTTCCTGAAATATTATGATAATGTACGTGTATGTAATTTTTTGAAGAATTTACATGAAATATTTGTGTATTTTCTTTTCTTTTGGTGCAAGTCAAACGCCGACCTCTAGTTGGCAGCAGTGTGCAGTACTCTTTGTTACCACCATTGAAATGTAAATACCTCTGTTGTGGTTCAGATACCTCATGTTAAACACATTACGTATCAGTTTGGACTGTTTATTGAATTTTCCTCAAATTCAGTCTAAAAAATGGCTAATATCGTCTGACTGAACGTATCGCAATATGGTGATATATCGTATCATCTCCCCTGTATCGTGATACATATCATTCAGCCGTAATTTCACCAATACACATCTCTAGTAGAAACTGTCTGTAGCCAGGGCGAGCTAGAACCAATGAGGTAGCTTCACCTGCCTTTATGGACACACTCCTTTAAAAGGTGCCAGGCACCATTAATGAGCACCTGCTGCAACTATCGTTCTGCCAGAAAGGCTCAGACCTGGGAAGAGCACAGCTAGTGTTGGCGAGACTGCGGCGGCACTCCAGCTGCTGCGAGTCGGCTCGTGTCTTTTGGAACAACCATTTTTCTGTGGTAAAAGCAAGCAGGGAGGTAGACTGACAACCGGACTCTGCCCTTGCTGTCCTCACCTCGGCATTGGCCGTTCAGCTATCTGAATAAAAATGTAATAAAAATAGGTAAAATTTGGGCAGCAAGTTTACAGAAAGAGACACATAAACCTATTAGTATGGCCGTGGTTGGTGCTAACCAGTGGCCTGACTTTATGAACAAAGCTGTCGGTCGCCTGGAGGTGGACTTCAAGTCACCACGTTGTTGCAGCCATGTCCTTTTGGAATAATAAGGTACATCCTGTACAGAAGTTATTGAGCCCAAAAGTCGAATCTGTAGCATCTTGCTAAGTTTACTGAAGTTAAAATGTGCTACCTATGTCTGACTGTGAAATTACGGTTTTCAAAAAAATGAACAAATATTCTTAACAGGAAAAATGAATAAAAATGTTGATTTAAAATATACATTTTTACCAGTGCTGTTAATCTTTGCTTTCCCTTTGGCCATCTTCTCTTGCTAAAAAAACAAATAAAAATTAAAATATATTAAATTCATTACTGACGTGTTAATTATGTGTTCTAAAGTAAATCTATAATACATTATGAAATATATCTTCATTTATACTAGTTCAGCGTCCGCATCACTGCGATCTGTCGTGGGGAAGAGGGAGCTGAGCCAGAAAGCCAGGCTCTCGATTTACCGGTCGATCTACGTCCCAATCCTCACCTATGGTCATGAGCTTTGGGTAATGACCGAAAGAACGAGATCGCGGATACAAGCGGCCGAAATGAGTTTCCTCCGTAGGGTGGCCGGGCTCAGCCTTAGAGATAGGGTGAGGAGCTCGGACATTCGGGAGGGACTCGGAGTAGAACCGCTGCTCCTCCGGATCGAAAGGAGCCAGTTGAGGTGGTTTGGGCATCTGGTCAGGATGCCTCCTGGACGCCTCCCTGGGGAGGTGTTTCGGGCATGTCCTGCCGGCAGAAGGCCCCCGGGTCGACCCAGGACACGTTGGAGAAGTTACATCTCCAATCTGGTCCGGGAACGCCTTGGGGTCCTGCCGGAGGAGCTGGTGGACAAGGCCGGGGAGAGGACGGCCTGGAGCTCCCTAGTTGGGATGCTGCCCCCGCGACCCGGACCCGGATAAGCGGAGGAAGACGAGACGAGATTTATACTAGTTGATAGTAGCGAATCGTGCTAATTAGCTAGCTTATCCAGTAAAAATTGTAACAGTAAGTTAAATGAAGGTACCAGCTGAGAATGAACACTGTTGTTAATTAATATTAAACCTAATATTTTGTACACAACAGGAACAAAGAAACGATGACCAAATCCCCACATAAGTGGAAAGTCTGTCGAACACGTACCTGTCTGTGCTCTACAGCTTTAACGATCTAACGCTGCGTGACGTTTTACGTCACTTTAGGGCGTGTTTCACCCAGCCGTAAAGCGCGATGTAGGAAGTAATTTACACCGATGCTGTTTTTGTTTTGACATCTTTATCGAAAAGATTAAAAACATCAATACCCGGACACATTATCTGCTTCATGTTTGATCTGAGTTGCGGAGTCTGTCGTTAAACGAGCGTGAAACTGTGAAGGTAAAAGCCGTTCGGAGAACATGTTAGCTGCTAGCTAACAGGAACACCGACGCTAACTTGATTTATGACCGCTGGATATTGTTTTTATATGTAGATATGTGTTGACAGGAAAACATGCTCCCTCCGGTCTACTAATTGCAACTCTTGTCATTTATTTGGGCTGGTTTATTGATGCAGTTTGACCACTTTTTCATTGGTTTATTAAAGTTAATAGTTGTTTATTTTTACGTTTAACAGAGTCCATGAGTCGCAGTCGAAACCCTCCTCCTGCTCGGGGTCAAATGGCAGCTCGAGCTAAACAGGTAAGGGCACATGTGTTGTGTTGTTATGACTACTTAATATTTACTTGATGTAAAGTCATTTTGAATGGCTTCAGTTTGGAGAAACGGTGACAAGTTCCGGTCAAACAGTCCACAACCTGTCACCCTGGGTCCTGAGTCACAGTATCTGATGGTCACAGAAAATGGTAAAACACCATGGCTGTTCAGTCTAACCCTGTTTACGTGAACACTAAGAGCAGTCTCACATGATTCAAAGAAAAACATCCGATGAGTCCAGAGAGTCGACTCATCTGGATGAATAAAGGTTAAGGATAAGAAGATGAGTGTGTATCCATCATGCCTAGTGTTTTCATTAGTTCATTCTTCTCACTCTGCAGTTTCATTCATCATTAATTCACAGTACAATCATCAAGTACAATCTTCCACGTGAGTAAAGGGAGAGGAAGAAGTCATATATGACCTCTAATAGACACAAACTAATTTACTAAATGGCTTTAAACAAACCAAGTATACAATTTTCTTTTCTTTGAAAACAGTATCGCAATGAAAACTTATTAATATTATTTTTCAATATTCACTTATCAAATCATAGCATTTTTTCTTTATAAAGTTTCCTAAATTGATCAATGGTTTTACGTTTTTTTCAGGTCAGCATCCAGATTATTCCATAGTTTTACTTCATAGACTGAAATACACATTTGCTTTAATGTAAAGCACCAAATCAGGACCAGAGTCGTCTCAAGGACCTTCACACAGAAAACATTCAAATAGAAGAAGAAAATATCATTTCTATAGCGCCTCTCAAGATAAAAATCACGAGGCGCTTCACAAAAACAAAAAATGTAAATATATATATAAAAAAGATTTTAGAAAATGATTAAAAATATATTTAAAATGAGCAAAAAATAGACAATTGTGATTAAAAATGTAAAGAAAGAGAGAGAGTGAATAGGAAAGAGGGAAATCAGTGGATCCCGAGGAAGGTGGAATAGGTGGGGAGAGCAGAATAAAGAGTGATGAAGGTCACACAAAAGCCAGCCTGAACAGGTGAGTTTAAAGGAGACCACTGAGTCCACTGATCTCAGGCTCAGGGGGAAAGAAGTCCAGAGTCTGGGGGCCACAGCTACAGATGATCTGTCACCTTTGACCTTTAGCCTGGTGCTGCAGAACCATTAGGCTTTGGTCACTGGACCTCAGGGACCTGCTGGAAGTGTAGGGACTGAGAAGATCACCAATGTAAGATGGTGCTTGTCCATGTAAGGCCCTATAGACCAGAACCAGAATCTTGAAATGAACCCTGAAGTTGACTGGCAGCCAGTGAAGCTGGAGGAGAAGCGGGGTGATGTGGGTGTGTTTGGAGGACTTGGTCAGAAGCCGAGCACAGGCATTCTGAACCACCTGTAGACGGTTCAGGGAGGTTCTGCTCAGATACGTGAAAAGAGAGTTACAGTAGTCTAAGCGTGAGGAGATGAAGGTGTGGAGAACAGTCTCAAGTTCAGAGCGGGACAGAATGGGACTCAGCTTAGCATTGTTCCTGAGATGGAAGAAGGAAGAGCGAACAAGAGAACAGACATGAGAATCCAGGGTGAGAGCTGGGTCAAAGGTCAATAGTTAAGGTCATTAAGCCAATCAATAAAAAGTTTCCTAAATAAGGAACCCAGCAGGTTGCATCGAGTCACTGACTAGCGTCAGAGTATTTACAGCAATCCTCATACTAAGCAAGCATGCAGCGACAGTGGAGAGGAAAACTCCCTTTTAACGGGAAGTAGTGCAACTGTCATGGATTTTATCAATATGTTTATCAATAACCCATTTCCCATAGTGAAGAGAGAAGGAGACGATGAGCAGACAAGTCAAACAGTTATAACTGGCATAATGCATGAGGCAAAATGCCCTGAACCTCTGGTCTTAGTTTATTTATACCAAGAGAGATAAAAGTGTGTGTGTGTGTGTGTGTGTGTGTGTGTGTGTGTGTGTGTGTGTGTGTGTGTGTGTGTGTGTGTGTGTGTGTGTGTGTGTGTGTGTGTGTGTGTGTGTGTGTGTGTGTGTGTGTGTGTGTGTGCACGCGCGCTGTCTTCTCCATCCCCAGTGAGTCGTGGTGGTTGGCTGTTTATACTGAGCCAGGTTTCTCTGGAGGTTTCTTCCTGTTAAAAGGGAGTTTTCCTCTCCACTGTCACTAAATGCTTGCTTAGTATGAGGATTGCTGTATAGTCACTGACACTAGTCAGTGACTTGATGCAATTTGCTGGGTTCCTTATATAGGAAACATTATTTCTGATTGGCTTAATGAACTGTGAATTGGATTGTTTATTATGTGAAGTGCCTTGAGACGACTCTTGTCGTGATTTGGCGCTATATAAATAAACTTGAATTGAAAAAATTGATTGAATAAAAACATCTATTAGTATGTTCTCTAGCATCTATTTATATATAACTCTCATAGCTTTCTTCTGTAGTAGAAACAGAGGATTAGTATTTGTTTTATATGTATTCCTCTAAGCCTTTATACAATAAGAACAATAAGTGACTAATATAATATATGAAGTGTTGATGTTTCCAAAATACTCTTTACTTTATTTAAAAGTCCAAGACTTTTACAAATTTTTTGTTTTATTTATTTTATATGAGATTTCAAATTGAGTTTATGATCCAAGACAACCCCTAGAAATCTTACTTCTGTTACTCTTTCAATTGAAGTACCATCTATGGACAATGTAATAGAATCATCTGTGTCTGCTGCTAAAATCATGAGTTTAGTTTTATTCCAATTTACAAGGCGAAACCACTTCTTAAATTTAGACATCTCACAATTCAGATTCTCCAAAGTGTTTTTTTTTAATCATTCCCTGAACAGAATATGCATGTATCATCAGCAAACAAAGTGAACTGTAGTATGTTGGACACATCACAAGTGTCATTAATATACAAATTAAAGAGCTTACGTACCAACACTGAACCCTGTGGGACTCCGTATGTCATCATTCATCATCATAGGGGCAGCAGTAGCTCAACAGGTAGAGCGGGTTGTCCAGTAATCGGAAGGTTGCAGGTTTGATACCGGCTCTGGACAGAGAATTCTGCTGTTGTGTCCTTGGGCAAGACACTTAACCCACCTTGCCTACTGGTGGTGGTCGGAGGGACCGGTGGCGCCTGTGCTCAGCAGCCTCGCCTCTGTCAGTGCACCCCAGGGCAGCTGTGGCTACATCGTAGCTCATCACCATCAGTGTGTGAATGTGTGTGTGAATGGATGAATGATACACTGTAGTGTCAAGCGCTTTGGAGTCCTTACTCTGAGAGGCGCTATACAAGTGCGGGTCATCATCATCATCACTTGAGAATCGGAAATTTCATATTATCATTCTAGCTGTACAGATTAGTTTATTTTAGTCAGATAACTACTTAACCAATCATAAGTTATCCCTCTAATCCCGTAATTCTTAGAGAGCAGCGGTACTCAGTAGGCGGCCCCCTGACCCCGCCCTGACTCTCACTCAGTTGTTTATGGTTCACAATAAAGTTGTCTAGTTGAACTGGGAAAGCACTGAGATGGCTCCGTAATTATCAGAACTATGTCTTTCACCATTTTTAAATATCAGATTTAGTTTTCTTTTTTCATTATTGCTTAACGTTCAAGGCTTAAGGAGCAATTTTTAAGTATGGTGTTGCCCAAAAACGTAAATGAACAATCAGTGGAGCGTTAGGAATCATTTCCAAACATGGATCAGACACAATGTCCAGCCAGGTCTTTACTTATTAGTTTTGAGGTCATCTGGAGAAGATCTTGAGCAGTAATTTATCATCAATGACATTTTTTTGCCAAAAAACCAGAAGCTTTGATGCAAAATAACTCTTTTGGCACAACCTTACAGATGAATCTACATTAGAATGTGGTCTTTTATTGTGAAGGATGGCATCTCTTCCTCTCCCTGTGTCTCAGATGGGGCTGCGTCTTGATCTTTCCCCGGGTGGAGGGATGGATGATGAAGGGAATGATGAAGAGCTGGAGGCGGAGCTCCTTAGTCTGGTGGGAGGAGGCGGAAGAGGAGGGAAATCCCAAGAGAAGAAAGGTGGAGGAAGACGGAGTTTTCTGTCCCAGTTGTCCCACGAGTGCTTAAAGCCTGATCTACCTTTCTTTCTGTTCAGCTTCGGTTCCGATTGCTGAAATTGAGCGAATGGCGGCTCTTTGCATGAAAGATCTGGATGATGAGGAAATGGGGGATGAAAGTTTAGAAGATGACGAAGATCTGCTGGTAAACAGTTTTAATCATCAAATATTTGAATTACTTTGTTGGTGTTTCCACTTTTCTCATTGAAAACTAGATTTAGGGGTGAGAAAAGACCTCTTAGCTTGTTCAGTGTCAAAATGTTCAATTTACTCTTCCATGAGATCAGGTGTGACATCACATGTCCCTTTCACACACCAGCTGCACAACACATTAATTCACCATTAGGAACAGCAAACACAGATGTAAGCACAACCTCAGGCAGCGAACCCTGTGCCCCACAGCAAAAGGTCATCAAACCGGAGACGGCTGTCTCATTCATCAAACACCTAAGGTGTGCACATGCATAGATGAGTTTCATACGGCAAAGGCAAGGTGTGGTGTCAGCAGCAGGAACAAAGATTATACACTCGGTACGGTCATTAAATTGTAAACTAAATAATTTTAGATCCTCATTTAAACTCAGAAGTCAAAGATAGTCTGTTGAGTTTCTCATGTTTTCTTACACGGTCTTTATATTCTTGTCCTGTAAACAGGCAGAATTAAACGAAGTTTTGGAGGATGATGATGATGATGATGAGGTGGAGGAGCAAAGTCCCAGACTGACGCCTGCTGCTACACTGACTGCTCCTAAAGTTACAAGCAAGCCAGCTCCTCCTGCTGCTCCCACAGATGCTTCTGGGCTGGAGTCCCGTCTCCTGGAACGCGCTGAAATGTATCGGACAGCGATATCTAACGCCAAGGCAGCAGGCGAGACCAGCAAAGCCCGTAGATATGACCGCGGGTTAACGGTAAATCTACTTCCATTTTAAAGGTGTGGTTGACTGAAAAAACATTTTTAATGTTCTTTCTCAGTTTAAAGTTAAAGTCCCACTAGCTGTCACACACACACACACACACACACACACACACACACACACACACACACACACACACACACACACACACTGGTGTGTCAGATTTCTTCTCTGCATCTGACCCATCCACTGGGGGAGCGGTTAGCTGCAGTCGCAGTCGGGAACCTTTAGGTGGTTTAACCCTCCAATCCAACCCTTAATGCTGAGTGTCAGGGCAGGGAGGGGTTGGGTCCCATTTTTTTAAAAGTCTTTGGTATGACCCGACCGTGGATTTGAACCCGTGATCTCCTATTCTCGGGGCGGACACTCATACCACCAGGCCACTGAGCTGTCTGTCACTGAGTGTTTCAGGCAGGCTGGACATGAAGATTGTCTCCTACACCTATCTCCTGCCGTAGCTTCTGATAGAAGATAGTCTCCTACACCTGTCTCCTGCCGTAGCTTCTGATAGAAGATAGTCTCCTACACCTGTCTCCTGCAGTAGCTTCTGATAGAAGATAGTCTCCTACACCTGTCTCCTGCCGTAGCTTCTGATAGAAGATAGTCTCCTACACCTGTCTCCTGCCGTAGCTTCTGATAGAAGATAGTCTCCTACACCTGTCTCCTGCAGTAGCTTCTGATAGAAGATAGTCTCCTACACCTGTCTCCTGCCGTAGCTTCTGATAGAAGATAGTCTCCTACACCTGTCTCCTGCCGTAGCTTCTGATAGAAGATAGTCTCCTACACCTGTCTCCTGCCGTAGCTTCTGATAGAAGATAGTCTCCTACACCTGTCTCCTGCCGTAGCTTCTGATAGAAGATAGTCTCCTACACCTGTCTCCTGCCGTAGCTTCTGATAGAAGATAGTCTCCTACACCTGTCTCCTGCCGTAGCTTCTGATAGAAGATAGTCTCCTATACCTGTCTCCTGCCGTAGCTTCTGATAGAAGATAGTCTCCTACACCTGTCTCCTGCAGTAGCTTCTGATAGAAGATAGTCTCCTACACCTGTCTCCTGCCGTAGCTTCTGATAGAAGATAGTCTCCTACACCTGTCTCCTGCCGTAGCTTCTGATAGAAGATAGTCTCCTACACCTGTCTCCTGCAGTAGCTTCTGATAGAAGATAGTCTCCTACACCTGTCTCCTGCCGTAGCTTCTGATAGAAGATAGTCTCCTACACCTGTCTCCTGCCGTAGCTTCTGATAGAAGATAGTCTCCTATACCTGTCTCAGAAGATAGTCTCCTACACCTGTCTCCTGCAGTAGCTTCTGATAGAAGATAGTCTCCTACACCTGTCTCCTGCCGTAGCTTCTGATAGAAGATAGTCTCCTACACCTATCTCCTGCCGTAGCTTCTGATAGAAGATAATCTCCTACACCTGTCTCCTGCCGTAGCTTCTGATAGAAGATAGTCTCCTACACCTATCTCCCGCCGTAGCTTCTGATAGAAAATAGTCTCCTACACCTATCTCCTGCAGTAGCTTCTGGTAGAAAACAGACGGTGAAACTCTAGGATAGAAAATCCTGACAGATCTATGTCACACTGTCACTAACATTCATGGACTCACCCATCTGGACTCATGGCGGGGAAGCTGTTGTTGGTTTAGTCCAGGAAACATCAGAGAACGTCTCAGCTAGTAGAAGCTAACTGTTAGCATTAGCTACTTAAGCAACCGACATAAAGACAAAAGACTGTTCTCATATATAATATGCACAAGCGTCAGAACAGACTTAAAACAGTCTAAGTACTCATTGATCAGAAATTATTGATCACAATGACTTATTGAAGGTAGATAATGGAACGCAGGATGTGAGCTTCAGTGGATTTTGCAGCTCATTCCAGTCGTTGGAAGCAGCTCTGCCTACAAGGCATTCATTCCATCTAGAGACCACTGCAAACATACTGATTAAACGAGTAAACCTCACCTTTAAAGCTCCTAACATCCTCATGATGATTGTTTTATAACCGTAGTTGTTACAGTCCATGTTGGCATCCGTCAAGAAAGGAAGACCAATCAACGAGGAGGAGATTCCTCCACCTGTTGCTGTTGGAGCAAAGGCAAACTCTACAGCTGAGACTGGACCTGCACTGGAACAAGAACCATTTAAGGAGCCAAAACCACCAAAGCCTGCTGTGTTGCTCTCCCCTTCATCCAATCAGAGACCTCTGAGGGAGGCTCCACCATCAGCTCCAAACACCAAGCCGACCCATCTGATCCCTCCCCCAAAACCTGCTGCTGCCGTCACGCCAGGAACACCTGTAATCTCTCCCCTCACTCCCATCCAGCCCAACGCCCAGCACTCAGGTAACACCTGTTTTATTTGAATTGTCCCTCTAGGGCAGGGGTCTCCAACACGTCGGCGCACCTGGAAGCAGCCATCCTGACCTGTAATTAGTGAGGAATCATTTGGTGGCCAGATGCCCCCGTTTTCTGCTCGTCTAATATAAAATACATTTTTTAGAAGTAAAATAAAAATTGGATTATTGCACAAGTCTTTGGCAAACGTGTTTTACTGGAAATGCACAGATTAACTGATCAGGTTGCAGCACGGACCCCCTTTCTGATCTCTGCAGCTGCAGGTGGATGTAGACGGGGAGACGTCAGTTACACAGACCCGGTTTCAGAAAAATGCCCTCAGTGAAATAATCTGTGTTAGTGGCTCGTTACACAGATTAAATACACTCTGCTTGTGAACACATGATGAACACAGTGTTCCAAACTCTGGACGTCTCCTGTGATTTAGTTTCAACAAACTTTTATTAATAATTTAGTAACAAACCATGAGTGTCTCCCTCTGCTCTGCTGCACAGCTGTCAGACCTGCCGAGAGAGAGAAAACCACACCTACAACTAGACCGCCAACCCTAATATATTCAGCAGTAAATGCAGCAAAGCGTCATTTACCTGCAGTTATTCAACAGTGAAGCAAAACTTTAATTTCATGAGCAAAAAACCTGTAAAAATGATTCAATAAATCATGAAAGCAGGAATAAATGTTCTCTGTTTTTACAGTTTCTGTTCAAACAACGTAGAATTTAGTGTTTTCATCACATTTAGCTTGTGTTTGATTACAATACCTTCAGCTTTATTCATATAACATTTGTTTTGGGTTGTTAGGAAAAGTAATCCTAACAAAATGGTTACAATGCCACGTAAAGAACATTAAACGTTCTTTACGTGGCATTGTTTTTGGAAGTTTGTGTTTGTTTTTGACAAAATAGCTGAACTGTATGAAGAAGAAGAAGAAGAAAATATCATTTCTATAGCGCCTCTCAAGATGAAAACCACGAGGCGTATGAAGAAGTGACATGGCAGCTTAGGCTGTGGGTGCAGGGTCGAGGACGGATCCATTCCCAAAATATCAAACCGTTCACACAAAGTAGATTTGTTCATTATCTGATTAGTTAAACAACTAAACATGTTTCCTTTACTTTTCTTGTACTTTTTTATAATAATGGTGTTTTGAAATACGGAGAAAGCAACTTGTGAGTAAATGCACGTTACTATAGTAACTATAGCATTGTTAACACAAGCATCTTCACACATGGAAAGTATCAATGTGAAAAATCGTATGGCAGTAGCTCTGCGGTGCTTTTGTTGAGTAAAAGCTCGTGAACCAATAAAAGTTGGAGACATCTGCTCTAGGGTTTTATGATCATAAACACATTAAGCATTTTATTATTCTAACTTATTATTAAAGCTGCTGCCTCTGGGCCAGATCATCGTTGTAAATGAGGAGTTCTCAGTCCACTCATCTGCTTAAATCAAATAAACGTATTCTTTTAGTGCTTATCTGTCATCTTTGTCACTTTGGTTGGCTGTCGCTCCATCCAGAGCTGAGACAGGCAGTGATGTCCAGACAGAGAGAGTACAAGATGGCAGCCATTCAAGCCAAACAGAGCGGAGACATCGACCTGGCCAAACAGCACTACCTCACTGCCAAGGTATCTCTTTGAGTTGATCTGTTTGTGAAAGACGACAGCGATTCGGCTGTAAGACGAGCGTTTGTCCTCCATCTGTGCAGAAGCTGGACTCTTTGCTGGAGGCTGTGGGCCGAGAGGAACCAGTACAACTGAGCTCATTACCTCCTCCACCTGGTGGGTCCAGCCAGAACGTTACCTCCTATCACAGACTAGTTTGCTGCTCTGATCTGTTTCACACCTGATGGCATGTTCTAGACACGAAGTCACACTCGTTTAGTAGCAGGGACTCGGCGCTGGATTAGGGCTTAAATCTCATCCACAAGAAATCACTTAGATCAATATCAATAATGAAAATGTAGAAAATGTATTTTAAGTGCAGCATTGGCCCTTTTTCCCTATTGCACCACATGTGTACTGATGGGTATACGTCATTACTGAGTTATTGTCCGGTGCAACACTGGAGCAACTGAAACTGTTGGCTGGCAGAGGTGTGGAGGACAGTAAAGCTTCATTTACACCTGTCAGCTCCGCAAGGGAGATGCTTCTCCGTCACCTGGAGAGCGTTGCCAAGCAATTCCCCGTCAGGACAACAGGGGGCGTAGCGCTTCTCTGAGGTATCCAGCCATGTTACAGTTTAGATCATTAGTGTATTTACTAATGCTCTTGCATAGTTTTATTGCATTTCAGAGACTTTTTAATACGGACACGTTTATCCCACATTCTCCTCCACCTCTTCATTCAGTCAGCACCACCAAACTTCATTTCTGTCCACGAGTAACGCTTGCTGCTTATCTTTGTACTCCTTCAGTCACAGCTGGATAAACGTTCAACAAGGCGTTCTTCAGTCGGTTCTGTCTGCCGCTAAATATCTTTATTTTTTGAGGGGACATTGGTGGTGCTGTTGACAAATATTAAGGAAGCGGCGTCCTGACCAATCACAAGCTTGCGTTCTCCGTCACCCTTGATGGATATTTAAAATTTGGGCATGTGTCCATCACCCTCTGCGAGCATGTTGGAGAGCACCAATGCTTAACGGCGTTGTGAGTCTCCGCACCGACGCAGATGTAGAAGTAGGAATTAGGCTTAAGGCACCTCGATAATAAAAGCCAGGTGATATTTTAAGAATTTAATTGGAAAGGTCAGGCCAGAGACTTCCAAGACACCCGAAGGTATTGTGAGATCTTGTTCCGTCAGAATGAAGGTGGTTAAAATGCTGCCACCTGGCGGTCAGGGTCTGAATGACACCACACAAAGGAAATGCAGTAAATCTCTGCATGTAACCTCTGCGTTAAAATGTATGCACTGCTTTAAATATTGGTTCAGTATCATAATACAACCTATTGTGATACTTCAGTGTGTCTTTATTTGTTACCATCCTCAGTAACTGGCTTTAATGCTTCTATAAATGCACGGTGGTCAGCATAAATGAGTACACCCCACTACATTTGTCAGAAAGCCTTTAGTTTCCTGTCCGAATCAACATTTTCTACGAGACACCAAACTACTATACACTCCCACTAACTTTTCCTAACAAATCCGTTCAAGCCCATGTTACACAAATGAGTACACTACACCCCAATTATAATCTTAGGAGAAAAGCCACACTTGGACTACAACATCTGCATTAACGGGCATTGGTGCTGTCCGTGAAAAGCACGGTGGTCATACAAAATACCAGATGTAGTAGTTCTGTTATTAACCTTAATGTCATGTTATGGAGGTTAACACCTGTTCTGTAAAACCAGCCTTGCCAAAGTCTGGAAATAGTTCTTTTGTTTATTGAGCTACTTTTTAAAGGGGGTGTACTCACTTATGCTGAGCTCTGTATGTAATCGTCTGCAGAAGAGCACGCTGCTCCTGTTCCACCTCAGTTTTCCTCCCAACCTGCTGCTGCTCCTGCTGTCACCCTGGAAGCCACCAAAGGTAAAACACCAGCTTATGCTCCTGCTGCCTAATAAAACAGTTTATAGTTGTTGTTTATTTGCTTTTTGTTGCATTAAATGTAGAAAAGAAGCAGAATGTAAAGAAAAGATCAAGTTTTTATGTATGCTGCTATTTTCTGGTTTGTGCAGCTTCTTCTGGGTGCAGTGTGCACTTTCTCTCCTTTAGTAGATTCCAAGTTATTATAACTCACCAGATGATTAAAACAAGAATCTGATTGGCCGATAAATACCGTGTGTGGAGTCTTATCTCTTTGTTTTAAAAAAAAGAAAAATGATTTTCACTTATTTAACAGCACCTGTAAATGCCAGATCAAAATAAAAGCACTGACTGTATCTTCTAAAGCATAGATGACCTGAGTGCTCTTGTCCGCATCTGTTTTAGAGCTGCCGCCTCCCGGCAGTCTGGCTGAAGCCCTGAAGCAGAGGATGGACATCTACAAGCAAGCAGCAGATGGAGCCAAGAGCAAAGGAGACGATCGGAAAGCTCGCATGCACCAGCGCATCATTAAGGTACAGTTCAAAGGAGCCATAATAATGTGTGTTATGCCCCCTCTGACCGCCTAGGAGGACGAGGGACAACCACAGTGAAACTTAAAATGAGGTTTGTAAAAAGGTGAAATGAGGAGAATAAAGAAGGTCAAAATACAATGGTTTATTAACAAAAAGGCGTCTCTTTCTAACTACCACTAGCATTACCACTGCTAGTGAGGCAAGCACCAACAGCTAGCATTTTTAAATCACGCTTGAAAACTCACTACTTCAACCTAGCTTATACCTCACTTACATCTGCATCACTTACATCTGCATTGTTTAAAAATGGACTTCACAATATCAACTTCCGTACTATTGAGGTTCTTTTTTAAAATGTTTTTCTAATTTTTTATTCTCCCTGTGTCTTATTGATTTTTAGCTGTTAGTTTTGGGAATTTTGTTGTATTTCCTTTTTATCTTTTATCTGTGTTCGACATGTTTGTATAACGCCTGTTTAATTAACTAACATTTTTAGTGTACAGCGCCTTGTTTGGTTGTAATGCCTTGTGAATGCGCTTTATAAATAAAATTGGATTGGATTGGAACTAAAACGGCTTCAAACGACTAACTGAAAACAACTCCCTGCTTAACAGGGAGTAAAGAAAGCCAGCAGTCAAAACAACCAAAATAACTAAAGCGAAACTGTTACAGAAAGGCCATTTAAAGATTAGCACCATGAATAGGGAAACTCTGAACTTAAAGTCCCCAGACAGAGGAAACGAAAAAGACTAGAAAGTCCTTTAAATCAGAGTAAATCTAAAGACCAGTAGCTTTAGCGCTGGCAAAATCACAGCCGAGGAGAACCACAGACTAGCTCTGGGTTTCTGAAGGGTTAATGAAGGCTGGAGACAGGCTTAAAAACCCTGAGGAGAGGAAGATTGCTGAGCTGTTTTAGCTGGTGAAGCAGCAGCTGCTGCTGCTGGCGGGCCTCTCTCCAAGGTCCTGTAGTGTGGGGTGAAGAGAACTCTGGAGCTGTCCCTGGTGCTGAAAGCTGTACATGCGGGCGCAGGTAGAGCAGGAGGCAGGAAGCAGGGGTCATCACAATGTGCTCGCGTACCATGTTGCTGTAGTGTACGGGGGGTTACATAGCCACAGCGCCCCGCCTGAGCCTACGTAGGGGAAACACTGATTTGTTAACATGTCTGCAGAAGGAGATCAGTGTTATCAACTTTTATTTTTTCACATCTACGTTGATTTTAATTCAGTTTATTAAAATATCACTAAATCACGACCAGAGTTGTCTCAAAACACTTCACAAGTTTCCTATATAAGGAACCCAGCAGGTTGCATCGAGTCACTGACTAGTGTCAGAGTCTTTACAGCAATCCTCATACTAAGCAAGCACGCAGCGACAGTGGAGAGGAAAACTCCCTTTTAACAGGAAGAAACCTCCAGAGGATCCTGGCTCAGTATAAGCAGCCATCCACCACGACTCACTGGGGATGGAGAAAACAGAGCGCGTGCACACACACACACACACACACACACGCACGCTCACACACGCACACTCAAATCTTTTGATTGATTTCTCTTGCAGTAGAATCATAGAAACTAGTCTATTATGCAGAAAAGGCTTTGATAGAGTTAACTGGAAGTTTTTATTTGCAACTTTACATAAATTTGGTTTTGGGAACTTCTTCATAAACTGGCTAAAAACATTATACAGTTCACCAACAGCACGTGTCAGGACAAACGACCAAATATCAGCTAGCTTCTGTCTTCAGAGGGGGACCAGGCAGGGATGCCCACTCTCCCCCTCACTGTTTGCTATCTTTATTGAACCACTAGCAGCAGCAATCAGGCAAACAACAGTTATTAAAGGCATTAAGTGTAAGGTCCTGTAGTGTGGGGTGAAGAGAACTCTGGAGCTGTCCCTTCTTCTGGCTCTTGGAGAGTACAGACGTTTTTTCCTCCTCTCCTCCCTGTCTTATCCCCAAGGCTCTTTGTCTGTCTTTGGGTGGATGGCGCATCTGCATTTTTTCTGGAAACTGGAAATTATTAAAAATGGACCTGGTCAGCTGGTCTCTCAACGCGATTGATAATTTTTTTTCAACGATGAGAATGGGAGAAGGGGCTCCCGGATGCCCCTCTGGGTCAGACCCAGCTGGTCATGTCATGGACTCCTGGAAACAGTGGAACCTGATTTGCCTCTCTCAACTGTCTGTAGAGGATTCTGAAGACGTCTGGATATTTGTGGTGTTGGTGTCAGGTTTCCTGCTCTTTGGCCTAGGAGGCTTCCTGGCTAACCGGAAAGTTAACGAGCTGTCGAGGAATATTGGCATGCCCCCGGAGCTCAGGGATGGATTACACCGCGCTGTGAATTCACAGACTCACATAATTGTTGAGATGAATCGTAAGCTTGGAACTTTGGCTGAGATTCAGTCTCTGGCACAAAAGATGGATGCCATCAAGGAGCATATGGGCGAATCAGCACGGATTGGGATAGATTAATTTACGCCATAATTGGGATTTTGAGAGGTTGAGGACCAACGGAACTTTAAGACAGAGAGGAAATTATCTGTCTGGCCCCAAAACAATTTCTAATCTGAATCTGGTGCCCTTGAGCCTGTAAGGCTGCAACGAATACTGGAATGCTGCCATCACTATGGCCACTCTGTCTCCTATCCCAGCCTGGGCGGGACTGCGGGCTGTGAGGGCCGCCGAATCGTTCCAGGAGTCACTGTGCCCTCCAAAACTCAACGACCTCCTTCCACTGTCCAGACTGAGGTGACGTGCGCTGCTTATCGTGGCTGCAGCCACTGACGTGTGGAGAGTCCCAAACCCACCACCCCACCCACCCACCCAAGGCAATCCTCTGCACCTCTCGAGGGGGGCAGTCGCTTTTCTGGTTACAATCTCCCAGGGGTCACCGCGATCTGGGGCAGCTCCTGGATCTCTGAGACTTGGAGCTCCCGCCTAGCCTAGTGAACTAGACCAAATAATACATGTATTTAGTATGGCTTGCCAGGCTAGCTCCCTCCATCTCCTACACATCTTTGGAGGCAGATCTGTGGCCCCTCACACTCTCTATTGGACACTCCTATAGAGAAACCTTACATATACAAGCGCGTGTACACACACAGGTGCTCACATGGTGCTCTCATAAGTATGGACTTGGGCACGTTCAACACATGTCTTAAGGCTTTGGTTGGCACTAAATGCACTGTGATTTATTATCGTGTGATTGTTCAGCACAACAATATTGATTTTATATTTCCTCTTCAGGTTGGCACGGTGATAGCTTGCTCTTGTTGTATTGTTGTGTGTGTTTTTCACTTTCTGCAGGTCTAGAAGCAGACTGTTGTTCATCATTGGTTGTTTATTTTTGTGGCCTGATAATTACTCGATTTCTTCTGTTTGGAGTAGGAGGATTTCTGGTTTGGATAATTGGAAAGTCGGGGTGATTGGAGTGCTACCTACCCATGGAAAGTCTCAGCCATGTGGAAACTGCTCAGACTGGGACGCTACTAAAGCTGATTCGCAAGCTAGAGGTTCTAGCTGCGATTCCGGTGTTAGTGTGCAAGATGGATGTGATCTTGGAGAAAGTCACTGCACAGTATGGGTGATTAGACAGGTGGTGCTCACTCCTCACGCCTGCCACGTGGTTCTCAAAGGATAAACCATCAATCTGGTTCGATGGTCAACTTTTCTGGCGGGGTCACCCAATAGGACAGTAGGAGGGTTAAGACACAGACTTTGTAGTTGTTATGCTAAACGCATCCGATCTAATACATTTTTTCTGTGACTGTTATTTAAAAGCAGCAGAGACTCTTTCTGGGAAAAATGTTCAAGTTTAATGAGGAAAACAGCATCATTCAAATATATTTGTTTTATTAACAGCAATACCAGGATGCCATCAGAGCTCACAATGCAGGCCGACCTGTCAGCCTGGCAGATCTCCCGGTGCCACCTGGTAAATTTGTGAATGCTGTGCTTCAGGATTGCGCTTCATCTGCTTAACTTGATGAGTTTATTCATGTGTGTGTTTCTTCTCCAGGCTGCCCACCAATCCAGGGCTCAGAGGGGAGTCAGCAGAACTTCATGGGTGTCCTGGAAACGGCCATGAAAATAGCGAATCAGGATGCAGACGCTGAAGATGAAGAAGAGGGGCAAAGAGAAGCTGCTGTGGTAGTGGTGTGTGTGTGTGTGTTCGTGCGTGCGTGTGTGTGTGTGTGAGAGGGGTAGGGTTAGTGCAGCTGGGAAACATGATTGGTTTATTTTGTTTGTGCCATTTTTGCTTTTTAATCAGAGCAATTTCCTCTTTTCCATTTCCTACCCCCTGCATCAGTGCATGCCTTTTGTAATTGCTGGCAGAAACGTTCATGAACTGCAAACATAGAATATACAAATCTAACTAACTGAAGTTGTACACAAATAAGATGAAGCTTTACCATCATTTGACTGGTTCTAACTTCTGCAGCCTGCAGTGCGTCCAACTGCACCAAAAGCAAAGTCTCTGGCTCTTCAGCCTCCTGGAGGATCCTCCGCTCCAAAACTGGGAGCTAAAGGTGCATGCCAAGTTATTCATGTGTGCAACATCTACCTTTATGTGTCAGATGTGTCCTTCCAGTTGTTTTAATTTCACTTTTGTTTCTCCTAATTACTGTTTTAGCCCAGCAGCAGGTAGACTTCCTGTTGCTAAGGCGGCAGGCATTTTTACGTGCAGCCCTTCGCTCCAAACAGATGAAGGTACGTTTTTGCCTTTTTTTCCCATAACAAACCTCATCCCCTCTGCAGTTGGAGTGTACAACTCCTCAGTTTAACTGGTACTGGCATTATCCTGGTACAGTGATCCTTCGCTACTTCGCAGTTCGTTTATCGCGGATTCACGACTTCGCAGATTTTTTCTTTGGAGCCTTATTCAAGGAATATTTGCCGATTCGTGGTATTTTTCTATGCGAAATATCAAGAAATTCCTGCTTTTTTTCATCAATTTCATCATAAAATGCACTTTTTGTAATAAAACTATAAAAAAAACCAAGTAAAAATTTTTCTTTCTTGAGTTTTACCCACAAAAAGAGAATATGATCATACGATAATTCAATATAGTACTGTATGTCAGACTGGTCGGCTGGATTCGGGAGTTGAGCTTGTAGGGAGCGTGGCTTCACAGACGCGGAAGTGAGAGCGTCGGTGAAACACCGGCTCACGATTTAATCTAGGAAACCCCTGAGTGTTCGAGCGTCAACGAAGTGACACGGAAATGCCGGGCTTTCCAGAAGTAAGTAAGATAACTTACTATGAGCTGATAGTTCGTGGGATGGATCGGTAGGTTGGAAACTCTGATCATGAATCTGAAGAAACGATGACTGAGTGGTGAGCTGGAAAGGCGACTTCCGTTTATAGCCGCGGTTTGTGACATAGGTGCGACGTGGAGGGAATCCCCGCGAGGGGCATGCTGGGAGTTGTGGTCCATAGTGGAGGCCGGCTAGCTGGAAGAGGCTGGCCTGGGAACTTGGGTTCTGACACTGTACTGTAGATATGGTGTCCCTACTTCGCGGACTTTCACCTATCGCGGTGAAATCCAGGTCTGGAACGCATCTACCGCGATAAACGAGGGATCACTGTACACCATACCGGATTTACATAGTATGTCTGTGTCTTTTACAGTATGCTCAATTTTAAATGTATGTTTAGCTGAAGTTGATTTAATGATGTTGCTGATTTCAGGACATGAGCGGAGCAGCGCAGCACCTCCGACACGCAAAAGGACTCGACCCCATGGTCACCGCTGCCAAGTCTGGACTTCCTGTTGACATAACAAAGGTTCTAAATATAGTTTTATCAACAAATTTATGCACAAAGTTGCTCGTGGTGTTTTGTCACAGCAGCAGCCAGATGCCTGAGGTGTCATCACACGAGCCAGAACTAAAACAGAATGTTATTGAAAAGAGAAATTGTGAAATCCTGGCACTTTTTCTCATCAGTAAATTAACATCTTTTGTGACAATTTTATTCTATTTTTAATATTTCTTTTGATTGGTTCATTTCTCGTTAATTTGATTTGGGTCTAACATTCTGTTTGTGAAGTAGTCTTAAACAGGCTGCCTTCACACTAGATCAGTGGTTCCTAACCTGGGGGTCCCAACTCCCACAAGGGGGTGCCAAAGCCTCTCAGTGGGTCGCCAGGACCTCTCCACTTTAAGGGGTTAAAACTTCATTTATTACTTGTTTATAGCCTACATTTTGCTCACATTTTTTTTTTCATGAGTGAAAAGTTTACTGATATTATGACAGGAAATAATTAGTACAGAAAAAGTAACACACTTTTAAGAACATTTTGCTCAGCTCACTGTTTTATTTTCAAGCGTCAAAAGTTCATTAAAGATAGGACTGGTTGATTAATCACAGCGTTTACAGTAAATAATCTAGTATAAACAGTAAATAATCTAGTATAAACAGTAAATAACCTAGTATAAACAGTAATATACACATTTAAGAACATTTTGCTCAGCTCACTGTTTTATGTTCAAGTGTCAAAAGTTCATTAAAGATAGGACCGGTTGATTAATCACAGCGTTTACAGTAAATAATCTAGTATAAACTGTAATATACACATTTAAGTACATTTTGCTCTGTGTATCTTTTATGTGTCAAACGTTTATTGAAAGGAATGATTGATTTATCAGTGTTTACAAGAAACAATGTGTTCAGAAAAGTAATACAAACTGTCAAGCACATTATGCTCCGTTTGGTTTTGTTAATGACTCTGTTCTGTACTGGAGCCTACTATTACTGTTATCTATTGAATCAAAGCATATTAAAATGTGCTTGAGTAATTTTATCATTTCTTAATAATGTTTGTACTGGAAGAGAGAATGGGAGGGGGTCGTCAAAAATTTTACTGGTAAAAAACGGGTCCCTTGGGGAAAAAGGTTGGCAACCACTGCACTAGATCTTGCATATTAATGATAAAACTTCAAATAATAATATTACAGTTAATAGGGTTGTAATGAAATTATTTACACATTTTCTTAACAAATGCAAATTCAAAGGAAGTTGCGACCTTTGACCTTCCAGAAGTCAACTCCTCCCGGCGGCAAGCCAGCTAGACTTCCTAGCCAGCTGGAGCTAGCGAGAACTCCCATCACAAGGATAATTGTAGTCTCTCTCCTGGCGTCATGGTGTCTAGCGGGACATCATTAGATAATTGGCATATAGTCAGAGAACACTGCATCACATAGTTAAAGATTTAGTACAGGAAGACCATAAGTTAGTACAAGGTCCAGCATGTGTGGGTCCAGAAACGAACTGCACAAGGTTAAAAGTCTCGATCAGTTCCAAAAAGTCTTTAGCCTTAGGCTAATCCGCACAGCACACGAGTGTTAAAATCACCTACAATCAGTATTCGATCATAGGCAGAATATCAGCTAAAGTTAGAAACGTCACTTATAAATCCCTTCTTGTGTCCAGGTGGCCGATTTAAACCAGTTTTGGTTTCACTGATAATTGTAACCTGTTTTGGAACCCTTTCTCCTTTTTCAGGCAAGCTGGTTTTCACCCTAACCAACATGGCTGAAACATGCTAACCGCTAACATCCGGTGTGCTGTGCAGTCCCATAGATTTGTATCTGTGGTGGATTCCCTTTCACAGTCATAACGGTTTACATCCCAGCCGTCTTCACTTTCTTCAGCCATCACTCACACCACCACTCCAAATAACATTGCCCCCTTCAGTCCTCCCCAGATGCAGCCATCATCTGTGTGTCTTTCAAATCTCCCTGTCCCCAAAATGTGTCTTCTGCTGACAAACCCAAGAGTTTCCCCATTCCAGTTCATTTATCAACCAGCAAAGACACAAACTGTATTCATGGCCGGAGAACCCAGAAACGCACCAGACGTTTACGACCCATCCCTCTCCAGCAGGTTAAGAAGACAAACGTTCTCCAGGATTCAGTTCAGTGTGCCTTAACGCCCGCTCCATTTCAAACAAATCCTTTATTCTAAATGAGATGTTCACCAGAGAAAAGTTGGACTATTTATTTCTTACGGAGACGTGGCAGCAAGATGGAAACTTTGCACACGTCAGTGAAATTTGTCCACCAAATTGCTCAGTGTTTACCACACCACACCGACACATCGTGGTGGAGGTCTTGCTGTGGTCTTTAAGGACAAAAATGTCTGCAATCTGGTAAATAATGGCCCTTTTACAACTTTTGAATGTCAGGTCATCAAAGCAGGGTTACAAAATGTATTTCACTGAATTTTAATCTACCAGCTGGCCCTTTACTCTCTGAATTTGCAGAATGTCTATCATCAATGATCAAACAAGAAAAAGTTTTAATCCTTGGTGACCCTAACTTACACATTAATGATCCTACTTGTAGCACAGCAGTGGAGTTCATGTCTGAAAAGGGCGAGTCCAGCACGTTTCAGGCCCCACACACTAAATGGGCCACACTCTGGATCTTGTTTTGTCTTTGGGACTAAAAATGAATGGTTTACATGTTGAAGAGGTTTTTGTGAGTGACCACAGCTGAATTTTATTTAACGTACAATCCAGCATTGATCCTGTGTAGCTACCAAAAGGACAAGTATTTCATCAAAACGACCAGAAGTTGGCGTTTAACTTACAGGTCAATCTGACATATGAAGAAATTATCTTGCGCCAATATTCTTAACATCCTGTGTGCGTCATGAATCCTCAAGGCTGCAAGATGCAGGACTCCTTATCTTTTACTCTCTGAATAAAGTCTATCTTCCCTGACAGAAATTACATGAAAACTTTATATAATCATATTTTGTTGAATGAACCATATGTTTAAGTCCAAAGTGTTTGATTAATGTGTTCTATACTTTACATTGTGGATCTCCTCTGTCAGTGCGCCCCAGGGCAGCTGTGGTTACATCGTAGCTCATCACCATCAGTGTGTGAATGTGTGTGTGAATGGATGAATGATGCACTGTAGTGTAAAGCGCTCTGGAGTCCTTACTCTGAGAGGCGCTATACAAGTCTGGGTCATTTATCATTTAGTATTTATAAAATGAATATTTTTCCTGTAATGATTCATTTCAGATCTTAAATTACACCAGTTGTTGATTTAATGTTAAATCTATCGGTATACTCACACCTCATAATATTAAACAGGGGGACCACCACCCCGATCTGCCAGTCCAGTGGAACTGCGCCCTAAGTCCACATTATATTGCAAAGCTACGTCAACCAACACAGCCCCACAACATCCAGAGTCTTAAGGAACTCTGGTCGGATTTCAGCCACCCCCTGAGCTTTGCCACTGAGGAGTTTTTTGATCACCTCAGTGACTTCTGACCCGTCCAACTCAAAGTCCCCAGACCCTGATTCCTCACTGGAAGACGTGCTGGTAGGATTGAGGAGATCTTCAAAGTATTCTGCCCACCGATCCACAACATCCCGAGTAGAGGTCAGCAGCACACCGGTTGGATTTGAAGTTCCTTCAGACAGGAGACTCCGCCAGACGTTCCCAGCAGACCCTCATAATACGTTTGGGCCTGCCAGGTCTGACCGGCCTCCTCCCCCACCATCGAAGCTAACTCGCCACCAGCTAGTGGTCAGTTGACAGCTCCGCTCCTCTGTTCACCGCGTGTCAAAGACATGCGGCCGCCGATCAGATGAAATGACAACAACTTCAATCATCGAACTGCAGCTTAAGGTATCCTTGTGCCAAGAGCACATATGGACACCTTTATGCTTGAACATGGTGTTCATCATGGACAATACATGACTAGCACAGAAGTCTAGTAACAAAATACCGCTCAGATTCTGATCGGGGGCATTCCTCCCAACCACACTTCTCCAAGGTCTCACTATCGTTGCCTACATGAGCGTTAAAGTCCCCCAGCAGAACGAGGGAGTCACTTGAAGGAGGGCTCTGCAGCACCTCCTCCAAGGAATCCAAAAAGGATTGGTAGACTGAGCTGCAGTTTGGTGCATAAGCACAAACCATAGTCAGGACCCCGGGGAGGTGTTTCGGGCATGTCCTGCCGGCAGGAGGCCCCCGGGTCGACCCAGGACACATTGGAGAGGTTACATCTCCAATCTGGTCCGGGAACGCCATGGGGTCCTGCCGGAGGAGCTGGTGGAGAAGGCCGGGGAGAGGACGGTCTGGAGCTCCCTAGTTGGGATGCTGCCCCCGTGACCCAGACCCAGATAAGTGGAGGAAGACGACGACGACATTTGATTACTTTTCTGGAACTACACAACAATTTAGACCAGTGGTCCTCAATAGGGGGCCCGTGGGCCATGTGCGGCCTGCAGGCCCCCTCTTTCTGGCCCCCAATCTGGTTTATCCCTCTGCGCCTATGGCTTGATCTACGTAGAGATATAGTAGGATGGATGGAGGATGGGACAAGCTGGTACTCCAGTCAGGAAAGGTGGAGAAGAATGCCCATGACCATTGTTATCAAACTTCACCAAATGTTGGCTAGAATGTCGAATATCTAGTAGCTCTTGACGGTCGTAGCTCTTGATGGTCATATACCAGAAGAGAGTCAGTAGTTACTGCAACAAGTACAATTGCTACAACTAAAAACAAAATGAAAAGAGACAGTTGGCATGCCAAACACACTGGCACCACCTTGTCTCATACTAACACACACACATATATATATATATATATATATATATATATATATATATATATATATATATATATATATATATATATATATATATGCAGTATATGCACACACAGTATATATATATATATATATATATATATATATATATATATACATATAGGTGTGTGTGTGTGTGTGTGTGTGTGTGTGTGTGTGTGTGCATGCGTATAATGAAAGATCACTAATGGTCTACCAAAACTGAAGCTTTTGAGATGTGACATTGTGCTTTCAGTCTTCAGTCACTCACCACATTCCTCTTGCTTCCAGATTCCTAATGTGCCTGTAAGTGAGGATGATTATTCCCTGGCTCGTTCCCAGACCTCTCCGGTCTCCCCTCGCTCCAGTGAAAAGTATCATGCCCTCATGGATCTTTTACAAAAACAACACCAGGTTAAAATTCCCTTTTTCCAAAGTCTGTTCCATAAATCTTGCTGTTTTCTTATGAGGTAATGTGTTGATTGTAATATCTGGTTGTTCAGCATTTTAGACAAAACTAATACTTTTGCTTTCTTGTGTTTAACCGTTTTTTATTTTGTTTTTTTTCTTGATCAACAGAAATGTTTAAGTGTCTCTCAGCGGTTCACCCTTTTGGGCAACGTATCTGAGGCCTTAAAGTAAGAAATGTTAGTTTATTTAAAAATGTACCAGGTGTCTAACAGCAGTGTCATTTTCCCCTAACAAAAACCAATCATGACTTCACCTGTCCCAAACTCAGCTAATATCATTATTCAGTATTTTCTAATAACTTACAAAGCCTGAATTTACAATCGGGGCCTAACAGTTTCTAAAAGCTCAGATGAACTTAGTTCTTGAGTCATTTTCAGCCTGTAACTTGTTAAGGTATTTGTGTAGGTACACAACTTGAAATCACAATTGTTAAGGCCTATTTATGTTTCATTTCTTCTATTATAATTTGTGATTTGTTTAATAGTTTGAGCCGTTTGTGCAGAAAGTAGTGATGTTGGATGTATTCCTGTTTCTGATCAGATCTGAGAAGCTGGTGGAGGAGAGCATGAAGTACATAGAAATACTGAAGGATGCCCATGCTAAGGGCCGCCCGGTCCCAAAGTGCCACACGGAGGAGAGAACCTTCAACTCTCTCAAGTCAGTCCGTTCAACTGAGACCTGACACCCACGTTTGTGGACATTGGTTTCTTGCCCTGTAATATTTTATTGTATTTATCTTAGACCTGTTGTTATCACTCAGAAAAATAATACTTTTAATTAATTTCTACAAAAGTGTTTAATCCATTTGCCCATCAATCGGTTTTCCTCCTCTTATCTTGGGTCAGGTCACAGGGTTAGGGTTAGGGTTTAGCCACTTGGGCGCACTCTTCCGGGGTAACCCTGAGGCATCTAAATCAGTGCTCATGTGAAATCAGGAAAACATTCTCACTCCAAATGATTTAATTTTCTTAAAATGTGCGAGAAGTGAATAAAACAACATTTTTAGACATGAAAATGATCTTTTTACCTTCCTGGAGTGGGAGGCGAGTCAGAATGACGCACTGTGACTCATTCTGCTTCTCCAGGATGATATCGAGCCCAAAGCTTTGTGACTCATGCAGGAGTTTGGCTCCTAAGCTGACTGGCTGTTGTCTGTCACACAGGGTCCACTCCAGCCTGTCCCCTAATGACCTTGTGCTGTACATCATGAGAGGCATCAACCTGCTGCCTCCACCAGGTACAGAAATCAGGCACAGTCTTAGAGCTGAATGTTTAGTAATCTGCTGAAGCTCACTGTCCTCTCGTCTGGCAGGTGTTTCTCCTAATGACCTGAATGCCAGTGTGAAGTTCGAGTTCCCTTTTCCCAGCTCGGTAGGACCCTTTTCCCTGCTCGTATTTCACTGGCTTGTAAGCGGTGTTTAAATGGTAGCGCGTGGTTGTGCGTAGGAGGAGGCCCAGAGGGACAAAACCAACACGGTGAAGAACACCAGCAGCCCAGAGTTTAATGAGCAGTTCAAACTCTACATTAACCGCACACACAGAGGCTTCAAACGGGTCATTCAGTCCAAAGGCATCAAGTTTGAAATCCTCCACAAAGGGTAAAGATCCCACACAGCTGCTCCTCTGTCAACTGGACGTGTTTATATGTCGCCCTGCTTTGTGTCTACAGAGGTCTGTTTAAGACCGATAAAGTGGTGGGAAGTGCTCAGCTGAAGCTAGAAGCTCTAGAGAACCACTCTGAAATCCGAGAGATCATAGATGTGAGTGTTAACTGAAGGTAACGGTCACACACACACACACACACATGTTAGGTCTTTATGACGGTGAGTGTGTCTTTAGGTGATGGATGGGCGTAAAACTACAGGTGGGAAGCTGGAGGCGAGGGTGAAGATCAGAGAGCCTCTGTCAGGTGTCGATCTGCAGCCGGTCACAGAGAAGTGGCTGGTTCTGGAGCCGGTCCCATCGCTGTCTTCTCCAGAGAAACCACAGGAGCAAGTGAGTACAAGAAGGAAAGTACCAGATCAAGATTTTAGGGTCAAAACACTAAACGGTCACTGGATCGTTGAATGATTGTTCTTTTTGGTGTGAAAGTTAAAGTTAAAGAGTTTTTGTTGTTTTATTTATTATTTCATTTTCAGGGTTTCTTTGTAAATGTTACAGATAATTAATGTAAATGTTGTAGCACAGCTTTCAGCGGTTGGATTAGGGGCAGTGCTTAGGACGCAAATGCTGACGTCAAAGGCAGAACAGATAACGGGGGGCGGGGCCAAGTAACTAAAATTACATCACAAAGTTAACACACATTTCTTAGTTTTTGCATCTTTACTGTTCCCCTGCTCCGGTGTGTGTGTGTGTGTGTGTGTGTGTGTGTGTGTGTGTGTGTGTGTGTGTGTGTGTGTGTGTGCGTGTGCGTGTGCGTGTGCGTGTGCGCGTGCGCGCGCGTCTGCTCTGTCTTCTCCATCCCCAGTGAGTCGTGGAGGATGGCTGCTTATACTGAGCCAGGATCCTCTGGATGTTCTTCCTGTTAAAAGGGAGTTTTCCTCTCCACTGTCGCTGCATGCTTGCCTAGTATGAGGATTGCTGTAAAGACTCTGACACTAGTCAGTGACTCGATGCAACCTGCTGGGCTCCTTATATAGGAAACTTGTTACTGATTGACTTGATGACCTGACCTGTATTGGGATGTTTACTGTGTGAAGGTCCTTGAGACGACACTGGTCCTGATTTGGCGCTTTATATAAATAAATAAAAAAATAAAAACATGTTTCACCGTGGTGGGAGAAAGAGCAAAGGAGATGTCATCATAGAAAGGAGAAAACTCTACAACAGACCTGTTTTCATTTGGATCCAAGTAATCTAGAGAGGCCTCACCAACATGGACGAGGGCACCACGAGGGACTGACACCCACAGAGTTTGGAATGGCAACTCTTCGCTTCAAGTGCGGGGGTATTGACTAACCAGTGCCGACTAACGATAACTGCAGTAGTCTGTAGCACGTGCGATTTTTGTAACTGTCAAAGGACATTTAGAATCTCTCACCAACACCGCACAAGCCCGTGGCTTTGGTGCACAGACGGGTACCTGGACAAAGGATGTGAAGGCCTTGAGGTCAGGGGACTAAAGCGTTTCAGAAAGCGTGCCAAAGGAACTTAGCAGTTTCCGAGCGCATGCCACTTCAGGGTCAAACTTTAAAAATACTTTTGCGTGAACAGTTAGTCATTAACAGGCCTGGATGCTCCCTGAGTGCGACCCCCGGAGAGGGCCAAGGCTCATATTATTAGATAGATAAGAAGCCTGCAGACGTGTTTCCTGTCACCGATCTGTGGATCCTGTGATTTTGTTGGACCTTTGTTTATTTTTTGGATTCTTTGACTTCTTGGAACTTTATCTGGAACACAAGTCTTTCGGACCCGACAGAGGCAGCACAGCTAAAGTGTAAGCAACCTTGAAGCTATCTTGAATGTCTGTCCTCCCGTTCCCTTTTGCCCCACCATGACGCCTTTTTGCTTTCTAAAGCGAATAAAAGAATTGAAAACCTTAAAGAGGATGTACGACGACTGTGCTGAACTGCAAAAGAAGAAAATGCTGCTGAATAGCTTTAGATCGTGTATCCCTGTACTTTCTGAGACCATTGTCAGCCAGTTTGAAGAGAACATTCATGCAGAACTCTTCTCCAATCCGTGCAAAACTCTCTACTCCGAGGCACCATTGCTTGGGATCCCTCTGCACCATGAAACCCGAATTCCAGCTCTACGCCTGACCAATTTTCTTCTTGGTCAGAGGTTTTGCTGTGGCAGGTCCTAAGCTTTGGAATAAGATTCCTCTCAGCATAAGGGCCTCCACCTCTGTTGCGGTTTTTAAGGCAAGGCTAAAAACATATTTTTATGACCTGTCTTAACCTTTCTAACTAGTTTTATTGTTTTACTTATAGCGATTTTACTCACTGTAGTTTTATCTGTATCGTGTGATACAATGCTTTATTTTCTGGACTTACTGTTTTATGTTTTTATTTGATCAGTGTAGCGCCTTGGTGGCATCTTTTTGCCTGTAAGGCGCAATTTATAAATAAAGTTGAGTTGAGTTGAGTTGTGGTACGTGGCCGAAGGAGAGCCCCTGTTGTTGATCCCAACCCCCCACCTGAACTCAGTCTTTCAAACCGCTTCACTCTACTTACTGAGGAACAACCAGCTGATTCCTCCAGGTCTCCTCTTCCCTCCCAACCATCTGATGACATCCGGCAGGAGCCTGTAGTCCGCAAGAGGCAACCGTCTCGTCCACCCCAGACCTCAACCTCTGACGCCCGATACAAAATACTGAAGGATGCTGTGCATCAACACTCTGCTGGACCACCTGCCCTGGCTCAGGAGGTGAGCTCCTCCACGGCAAACCCATCACCTCAAAGCTCTCCAGTTCCCTGACACCACAGGAACCCAAACCCAGAATCCTCCAATACTTCATGGGAGTTTCATCACACTTTGATGAAACGATGTTACACTCCGGGAGTCTGTCATCACTCAACAGCATTTTAACCATCGCTTTGACATTCTGAAGAGTAGCATCTCTGGCCCGATCCCCACAGTTTCTCATGGAAATGGATGTTTTAGCCGCCTGCTCTCTCTCCACTCCTGGCTTCACTCTGCTTGCAGGTCCCACAGTTTTGGTTTCATTGATAATTTTAACCTGTTTTGGAACCGTTGCTCCTTTATCAGGCGAGATGGCATTCACCCTAACCGACATGGCTCAAGCATGCAGACCGCTAACACCCGGCATGCTGTGCAGTCCCATAGATTTATATCCCCTTATATTCCCTTTCAGACATGACGGCCTACATCCCAGCCATCTTCATCTTCTTCGGTCATCGATCAAACCTCTACTACAAGTAACATGACCCCTACAGTCTTCTGTTTGTCTTCCAAAGGTCACAATCCCCAAAAATGTGTCTTCTGCTGACAAACCCGAGAGTTTCCCTATTCCAGTTCATTTGTCAACCATAAACTGTATTCATGGCCGGAGAACCCAGAAACACACCAGATGTTTACGACCCATCCATCTCCAACAGGTTAAGAAGACAAATGTTCTCCAGGATTCAGTTCAGTGTGCCCTGTTAAACGCCCACTCCATTTCAAACAAATCAAATGAGCTGTTCACCAGAGGAAATTTGGACTATTTATTTCTTACGGAGACGTGGCAGCAAGATCCTTTTATTTATTGTGTAGACTTCAATGAAATATGTCCACCAAATTGCTCAGTGTTTACCACACCACACCCATCACGTCGTAGTGGAGGTCTTGCTGTGGTCTTTAAGGACAAACATGTCTGTAATCTGGTGAAAATGGCCCTTTTACAACTTTTGAATGTCAGGTCATCAAAGTAGGGCTACAAAATGTATTTCACTATATTTTAATCTACCATCCTCCCGGTCCTTTTCTTTCTGAATTTGCTGAATATCTATCATCAATGATCAAACTAGAAAACGTTTTAATACCTGGTGACCTTAACTTCCACATTAAGGATTCTTTCTTTAAAAAAGAAGGTAATTAAGCACAGGTCAGGAAGTTGGCTCCCTGGTTTAATTCTGATTTACGAACTTTAAAACAAAACTCTAGAAAATCGGAGAGAACATGGCGCTCTACACACCAGGAGGAGTCCTACTTATCCTGGAAAAATAGTCTTGTGCTTTATAAAAATAAGCTTCAACAAGCTAGAACTGCTTATTTTTCAGCGCTAATTGAGGAGAATAAGAATAATCCAAAATTTCTTTTCAGTACAGTTGCCAAACTTACACAGAATCATAGCTCTGAACCATCTATTCCCTTAGCCCTCAGCAGCAATGACTTTATGGGATTTTTTACAAGTAAAATTAATTCTATTAGAAACAAAATCTTTAGCATCCTCCCTAATGCGATTTCGTCTTCCCCAGTAAGTGAGGCAGCATCAAAGGTAACTGTAGAACCTCATCTGTGTTTGAACCGTTTTGATCCAGTTGAGCTTTCAGAGTTATCAAAAATATTAGCTTCATCTAAACCTTCAACTTGCATTTTGGATCCAATTCCAACCAAATTATTTAAATATGCATTTCCTTTGGTTACTGCCCCCATTCTAGATGTAATCAATCTATCCTTAGTAAATGGATATGTACCACAGGATTTTAAGGTTGCTGTAATCAAACCTTTACTTAAGAAGCCTTCTCTGGATCCAGATGACCCAATGAATTATCGACCAATATCTAACCTTCCATTTTTATCCAAAGTCCTGGAGAAAATAGTGGCCATCCAAGTATGTCAGCATTTAAACACTAATGATATGTTTGAGGAATTTCAGTCTGGTTTTAGAGAGTATCACAGCACTGAAACTGCATTAGTGAGAGTTACAAATGATATTCTCATGGCCTCCGATAAGAATTCCATTTTTGGTTCTTTTTAAAACACAGAAAGCTTTTATTTACCTGCAACGTTTCATTTGCGGCTGCAAACCTCTTCAGAGCTGACGCTGATGGTGGCGTCACTTCCTTCTCCGTTTATCCGCGGGCAGCAGAGGACGTTGTCGCCCTCTGCTGCCCGCTCTCCCCTCTCAGACGATGCAGTCCCATGCACGATCCAACGAGTAAACTCCATCGTCCCTGTTCATGGTCCCACATCCACGTCTCCTTATCTCGATAGCTTCTTTTATCCATCTTTTGTATTTCTGTTGTTCTGTGTTTATGATCCTTGTGTTGTGCCAGTCCATTATATGGTTTCCTCTTGTGCAGAGATCTGTTACGGCTGACTTTATTGTGCTTTCTGCCCTTCTGCGTCTTGTTTTGCTGCTCTTGTGTGTTTTCGACTTGTTTCTTTCTCACACTCCTTTCTATGTTCTATTGTTCGTGTGTTGAGTTGGCGTCCGGTTTCTCCTATGTATGTTTTATTGCAGAGTTTGCATGGGATTTCGTAAACTACTCCACATTTAAGTCCAACTGGTATCTTGTTTTTGGGTGTACTAGTCTGTTTCTAGCTGTTATGTATGGTTTTGTTGGTGTGTTTATGTTGTGTTTTTTTCATTGCTGCTCTTATTTTTTCTGTTATGCCTTTGATGTATGGTAGGGTTATCAATGGTTTTGGTTCTTGTCTTTCTGGGTTTCTGGTTCTTTGTTTGGTTGTTCTTTTCTTTCTGTTGTTTGTTGTTTTCCTTTGTTTATTGTCCATGTCGGGTATCCGCAGGTCTTTAAAGTGTGTTGTATGTGTTTGTCCTCTTGTTTACGGTCTCTTTCTTCTGTTATCATGTTTGCTCGGTGATCTAATGTTCTGATTACTGACTTTTTGTGTATGGTGAGGTGTTCCGATGTCCATAATAAATATTGGTCTGACCAGCACAAAAGAAAACCATGTAATGGACTGGGACGGGACAACACAACGATCATAAACACAGAACAACAGAAATACAAAAGATGGATAAAGGAAGCTATCGAGATAAGGAGACGTGGATGTGGGACTATGAACAGAGACGATGGGGTCTACACATCGGATCGTGCATGGGACTGCATCATCGGAGAGGGGAGAGCGGGCAGCAGAGGACGTTGTCGCCCTCTGCTGCCTGCGGATAAACGGAGTGGGAAGTGACGCCACGCGTCAGCTCTGTGGATGTTTACAGTCGGCAAACGAAACGTTAGCAAGGTAAAGAGAAACCTTTCCTGTGTTTTAAAAAAGAACCAAAAATGAAATTAGAAACTAAACACAGCAAGAACACCAAAGATGTTTAAAGAAAAAACTCAGATAAGAATCTTGTGTCTGTTCTAGTCTTGTTAGATCTCTCAGTGCTGCCTTTGACACAGTTGATCACAATGTTCTTTTAGAAAGACTTGAACATGTTGTAGGGATCAAAGGAACAGCGCTAGGCTGGTTTAAATCCTACCTGTCTGATAGATTTCATTTTGTAAATGTACATGACAAATCTTCTTCATATTCCAGGGTTACTTGTGGAGTACCACAGGGTTCAGTGCTTGGACCAATTCCTTTTACTATATATATATGCTCCCAATTTGTAAAATCATTAGACAGCATGGGATAAACTTCCACTGTTATGCTGACGATACTCGGTTATATCAATCCATTAACCCTGATGAACCTAATCGGTTAGATAGGTTACAGGCTTGTCTTGAAGACATAAAAAATTGGATGACTCAAAATTTTTTGCTTTTAAATCAAGACTGAAGTTCTCATCTTTGGACCTGAACTTCAGAAAAGGAAATTGCTTAGTCAATCACCTGACCTGAACGGCATTAAATTAGCCTCCGAGAACAAAGTAAGGAACCTTGGTGTTATCTTTGACCAGGACATGTCATTCAAATCCCACATTAAACAGGTTTGTTGGATTTCCTTCTTCCACCTTCGGAAATTACTAAGATTAGAAGCATTCTTTCCAGGAGTGATGTTGATGCCCAGAACTCTTGTGCAATGAATGTCCATGCATATGCCCTAGTTGACTTGACCTTGTCATTTGTGTCTCTTCTTCACTTCACCGTTAGCCCAATGATGATGAAACACCCCTGTAACGCTACACCCCATTTACATTTCTGACGTTGGTTCCATTCCTTTTATCCTTGGTAATGACCGGTTTGAGCGCCTTATCCCTGTCGTCGATCTAGGGTGGGCGAAACTTTGGGCGTGTGTTGAACACCTTCTGCCCACTGATCTCCCTTCTGAACTTGACCTTTACTGTCTTGCGGTAGGCAGCTGTGAGCATGGGGCACCTATAGGCCTCCTGCAGAGCTGTGAGGAGACATCAGCCCCCCAGAACCGCCACCACGACATTCTTTGGAGCCGCCCTCTGACATCCTCTGTCACACTGAATAGGTCATGGAGCAGGCGTACGCATTTGTGAATGAGGTTGAGCGGGACAAACAATGTCAGCTACTGCTGAATTACATTTAGTATTTTTCATGTGGGTTTTTTTCTACTGATGATTTTTAATTTGATAGCATTTATTTGTTTCACCTGTTTTTAATGACCGTGCCCTGTGCAGCACTTTGGTCAGCTCTCATGCTCTAGTTAAATGATGAGTGACCCGAACTCCAAAGCTCTTTACACTACAGTGCATCATTCATCCATTCACATGCACATTCACACACTGGTGGTGATGAGCTCCAATGTAGCCGCAGCCACCCTGGGGTGCATTGACAGGCAATGTGCTGTATAAATAAAATGATTTGGTATGAAATTTGGTAAGCAGATTGATTTGGTTGTCATTAAAAGCTTTTTTCAGCTCTGTCTTTTGGCTGAAGTAAGTCACTGAAGAAAGGGCCATGCATGCTTTTATCAGCTTCTGTTTGGACTACTGCAATGCTCTGCATACTGGTCTAGCACAAAAAAGTCTGTTCACAAACACCTCTAGAATCTCTAAAATACTAGAAAAGCTTGTGGCAGATCAGCTGATTACTTTTCTGGAACTACACAACAGTTTAGATAAATTCCAGTCTGGTTTTTGGAAAAAGTGTTCAACAGAAACAAATTTGCTTAAAGTTTCCAGTGACATCATGATGGCTGCAGACAATGGGGAGTTCACAGTGTTAGTATTGTTAGATATTTCTGCAGCTTTTGACACTGTTGATCACAGCACCGTAATTAACAGACTCGGTGGGGATCTCTGGAACTGTTCTAGACTGGTTTAGATCATACCTTTCTAACAGAAGTTACAGTGTCTGTAGAAACCACATCTTGTCATATTCTACCCATCTGTTCTGTGGGGTACCCCAAGGCTCTGTTTTGGGTCCAATGTTGTTTCTGCTGTACATACACCCTCTTATACTTGATTCTTTTCATAATGTCTCATATCACCTATATGCAGATGACATTCAGCTGTACTGCTCCTTTAAGGATTCTGAGTTTGCTACAAACTCTCTGAATTACTAGAGTGTCTATCAGCTATCACCAGCTGGCTAGAAGATAACTTCCTTCAGTTAAAATCATAAAAGACTGAATGTCTGATCATTGCCCCTGAGAGCATGGTTCCTCTGATTAGTCTAAAACTTGGTCATTTATCCTCTGCCGTCAAGACAAACGTTACTCTTGAAATAAGTAACTAGTAATGTAACTACGTTACTAATTTTAAGTAACTTTCCCAACACTGGTGTTTACTAGTGTTGGATTGTGTTCATGTTGGTAAACTAGAGTGTGTGAAGGCTGTACCAACTCCAGCCTGTCTGGACATCGAAACATGGGTTTCCAGACAAGAGAAACAGCGCCTCTATCTCCGTGCCGGAGGGCGTTTTCTGCAGCTGAAAAGACGGAATTCTGTAACCCACATGGGTCGGTCTCATTATTTCATCGGCTCTCTGTTAGATTCAGGATTCAATTCTAGATGTTTGTGTTTAAAGAGCGAGTCACACCATGGGTTGAGTCTTGCTTAACCACACTTCCAGTTAGAAAAATGTGCCTAAGGAGACTTCGCTTAGCGGACTGAGAGAGCAGCGCTGAGGCAAGTGTTCAGCCCCGTTTACCTCCGATCAGCTCAGATTTTAAAGTTCAGGCCACTGAGGGAGTTGAACTGGGGTTGGAATGTGATGTTTTGACCGCTGACGCTTGTCGTCATCCTGCTTCTACAATAATGACGTTGCTAAAAAGCCGTTGGCTCAGGTGCTTTTCCATGCTCTCAGACGGTCCTAATCACTGGGAGAAGCATGGATATTGGAGCAATCAGGTCATGTTTAAACACGCTGCAGCTCCATTATTGAAATCTGTGATTATCTCCTCCCTTTGTAGAACAGCTCTAATCACTCTGCTCGTGTCTGTAAGACGTGTGATGGGTCCATCTTCAGTTCAATGACGCCTCTTTATGTTTGTTATAAAAAAGGCTCCATCGCCTCGATCTAAACCCAGACATGAAGCAGCCAGCAGAGGCAGTCACTCCAACAGCTCTCCTCCGGTGTACAGACTCTACAGCTTCAGCCTCCTCAACTATGACCGGGAGCGACTGGAGAGGAAGGTATCTCTCATCAACGGCTTTGCCATTTCTGATGCTTCTAATCACAAGGTAATGAGGTCTTATCGCTCACTGTGATCATCTTGTAGCTCTCAGAATACAGAAAGAACCATCAGGATCCCCCACCTGATCTCATCAATCAGCACAAAGACGTCATACACAGCCTCCAGTGGCAGAAAGCACAGCTGGAAAGGGCCTCTCCGGCTCTGCTGACAGGTAACACCTCCGAGGTTCAGACGCAACTTTTAAACCATTTGTTTTTGGTCCTAATGAAATATGATGCCGCAAATAAATACTAAGAGCTGGATATTTCATCTCTTGTTGCACATGATGAGTCACTTTGAACAAAGTGAAATGAAGCTGTTTTAGCTTGCATTTAGCACCCCCTGGAGTCCATAAGTAATTAACTGTGGTTAAACTTATGTTTGTATTTTTGACACCTCAATCCAACACCTGGAATGTCTCCCAGCCTTCATTAGTGTGTACAGGAGTGATTCAGCACTAAATAAATGACACAAATCGGCTGTGTTAATGATCTAAAACATGCAAGAAATGTGCTGGAAGCAGAGTGCAGCGCTGGCATGTCAGCTGCAGTTTACTATTGACTAAAGCTGGGCAGACACTGTAGCATTCAGCTTCGGCTCAATCTGTACGACCTCCCCGCAGAGCAGATTAAGTTAAAGTCAAAGTCCCATCAGTTGTCTCTCACACTGATGTGTGCGCGAAATTTGTTCTCTGCATCCGACCCATCCCCTGGGGGAGCAGTGAGCTGCAGACACGGACACGCTCGGGAACCATTTTGTGGTTTAACCCCCCAATCCAACCCTTAATGCCGAGAGTCAAGCAGGGAGGCATTGGGTCCCATTTTTAAACGCGTTTGGTATGACCCGACCGGGAATCGTACGCTGATCTCCCAGTCTCAGGGCGGACACGCCACCACTAGGCCACTGAGCTGGTTGTAGAACCATAGAAAGTGCTATATCAAACACAGACCATTTACCAACATAGAATTAAAAAAACAGTTCTGTGATGCGATCTGCTCACATTGTATGTCTGGTAGCAAAACGTTGGACCTAAAAATTGCAGTTTTTACACAACACGCCAGACTTTGGTGCTGTTATTGATGTCTGTTGTCCTTCGGGAATGCTGTAGGCGGATACAAACAGATTTATGGAGGCTGGATGAGGAAGACGAATGAAAAAAAGAAATCAATATTTTATCAGTTTAATTTGACATAAACACGCTTTATTGGCAATCCTTGTCATTGTGTGCAAAAAAATAAACGACCGACGTGTGTTAATAGGGAAATGGCCGGCGAGCCATGCTGACGCATGTTTGCTCATTCGCTGTGAGCGGTTCTGGTACACTTTGGGTCGCAGAGCTGCTTCAACAGTGCCATACCCTCACAAGGGACGAGCAAAATATCAAACACCAGTCATCACAATCTGGAGGCGCATCTCTGCCGCGAGGCGCATCACTGCCGCGAGGGGCGCTACGCGTCACCATTGGCTCAGACAAAGGAGAAAAAAAAAAGAGAACATTTTCCGACACTAAATGGAAATTTAGATCGTGGGCAAACACAAGAAAAAAAATGTGAAAACGAGGAGGGTTGAAAGTGGGCATGATGTTGGAATCAAACAACAACCCAGCTGCTGCTAGCCATGAGACAGAAGAGATGATCGTTCTGTCTGGACCGGAGATTAGATTTTACAGCAGCCTGATGATCATTCATTACATTTTTTGTTAAATGCCTAAACCTTCACCTCTGACTTATATTGTCTTTGTTTGTAGCCTTTAAACCCCTAGGATTGTTATTGGTGTATGTAAATAATATGAGGAAAACATCCATAAATATTGTCTGTCTACTGAGAGCGCGAGAGAAGTTATATATATATATATATATATATATATATATATATATATATATATATATATATATATATATATATATATATATATATATATATATAAAACATGTCCAGGAAATGCTGCTTTCCCGCAAAACAGCCAATCAACATCTTGTTGAACTGCTTTCTGCTACTTGGCAACTGGTCACCATCCACTGGCGGCATGGCAAGGCAGCTTTATTTATAGAGCACATTTCAAACACAGGCAATTCAATGAGCTTTACAATTAGCATGAAATGGCACAACAAAAACAACAACAACAAACACGAGAACACAAATTACAAATATACACAGACAAAATTATAATTCAGAGCTAAAAGGAAAAGACAGAATCAAGGTTGAGCTATTACATCACAGATTACAGAGGAGATGGTGCAGCATCAGTAACACTTCATGTAAATGCTGATGAGTACATGAGGGTTTTAGTTTTAAACAACACTAGGGTTGGGGCAGATCTGGGGTCATGGGGAAGCTGATTTCACATGTGAGCAGCATAGTAACTAAATGTATCTCCACCATGTTTGGTTCTGACCCGAGGTTCTACCAGCTGATTGTTTCCCAGGGATCTCAGAGCCCTGTTGGGTGTTTATACAGGAATTAGACCGGACATGTATTCTGGTCCCATGCCACTGAGTGACTTATAAACTAGTAGTAGCACTTTGAAGTCTGTTCTGTAGTTTACTGGTAACCAGTGTAGGGCTCTAAGAACAGGAGTGATGTGCGCCGTTCTCTTAG